TCTGCTGTTACCCCCTCCCCACGCCTTCACCATATATATCTTCTCTCCTTTATCCTCCTCACAACTCTCCCAGTCTCTGCTGTTACCCCCTCCCCACGCCTTCACCATATATATCTTCTCTCCTTTATCCTCCTCACAACTCTCCCAGTCTCTGCTGTTACCCCCTCCCCACGCCTTCACCATATATATCTTCTCTCCTTTATCCCCCTCACAACCCTTCCAGTCTGTGCTGTTACCCCCTCCCCACGCTGTTACCCCCTCCCCACGCCTTCACCATATATATCTTCTCTCCTTTATCCTCCTCACAACTCTCCCAGTCTCTGCTGTTACCCCCTCCCCACGCCTTCGCCATATATATCTTCTCTCCTTTATCCCCCTCACAACCCTTCCAGTCTGTGCTGTTACCTCCTCCACCACGCCTTCACCGCATATCTCTTCCCACCTCTATCCTCTCTCCCACCTCCCATCTCTGCTCTCACTGACCGCTCAGCTTCTGTCCATGCCTCTCCCCCTTCATTTACGACCATATTTTTCTTTGTATTTGATTTAATTCCCTCTCACACAATTTCTGCATTCCCAACTTCTTCCCTTCTCCTATCCCTTCAGTCCCTCCACCACTCTGCCTTGTCCATCTCAGGTCCTCCTTATCATGATCTACAATTCCTCCCGCAAGCCCCACTCCCCTTATACTTTATTTTCTCGTTATCCTCACTCTTTCGTCTAAACCCACTCCTCAAACCTTTCAATATCCTAACTCACTTCCCCCCAGGCCCCACTCTCCAAACCTCTTCATCCTTTCATCATCTGCAGTATCTTCCCCAATTCCCTAACACTTCATTCTCTTATCATCCTCACTCCTTCCCCAGCCCTTCTCCCCAAACCCGTCATTTCTTTGTCATCCTCACTCCCTGTCTATAGCCCAATTCCCAAACCCTTCATTCTCTCATCATCCTCACTCCTTTCCCCAGCACCACCCCACACCCTTTGTGGCCCACCCATCTCCCACCCAACTTTTCACTCACCCATCTCCGTCTTACACCGTGTATGTAGTCTGATATAAGGTACATAGTCGGTAAATATTGATGTTCTCCTGACACCGGTAAAGATTTTACTGAATATCATTCTACTGCTAAGTACGTTTCTTCACGTCACGATAGTCAAGTAACCAATTAATGCCCGTTGTGTGGTAACCACGAATCGGCAAGATCATAAACTTTCACAATTCATGTTTAAAAGGAATAGTAATTACAGACATACAAGTTCAACTTGATAGTAACAACTGACCTGGGAATAAACAAAGTAGAAATCATATATATATATAATCGATTGCTCTCCCGGAGTCCGTCACAAGTGCTTGTGAAAAGGTGATCAACCAAGTGGTAAACGGTATCGATCAGTAAAGCTAGCCATGTTTGAAGAATGTTTTCTCATGTCTGCGTGGTTCTTAATTTTATTCTTATTTACTGCACCTCAAATATGTGGCACACTTTCCACCAACCTGTTCGGTAAAAGCCCTCTTATCCCCCCCCCCCCCCCCCCACCTTTAAAAAAAATCATGTATACGTCACCACTTACAGGACAACAAAGACCACCAACAAAATACTCACAAAAGACCATGTCGCAGCCCAAGATTTATGAATGATATTATGATAATAATAAAAGAACAACGCCGAATCAATATTATGGGATGCATATAACAAACGACGTAGTAATAAGAGCGACGCCTTTCAGGCGCCGAAGGTGCCCAAACGAAGCTCTATACTGGTAACATGTGTAAGACCACGTTTCATTCACGTCCAGGACGAGAGGTCCCAAGAAAATTGATCCATCTGAGAAAAATTCTTCCGGAGGTGAAAGGCATGGAGCAAAGGGTGCTCTGCACTTTACCCGTATCTAGAGTTTAAAAATGACAGGCTTTTCGCTTTCCTGAAGTTGTTTGATTTATTTTAATTATAACTTAACATACAGATAATTTATACTAAAGATATTGACATGACCTAAATTTTCTTTATCCCTCCAAGTACCCGACGTACAACGTCAGTCAATATTATGACATCACAACATATACAAAAGCACACAAAACGTCGACGTCACAAGAATGGTGCGATCGATCATTTCCTGTAACGCACCACATTTTTTTTTATTTCTTTAAGCGCTATCCGATTTTATTTTCTTGATATTTTCAACCGAGAATGTCACTGTGGCATGTAAGCTACGCTCTTTCCAGACACTTCCTGACTCATATCAGCTAATGTAATTTTGTAATTTGAAGACAATATGTTGTTTAAATGTCAAATCGAAACTTTCCAACTGCCACTTTTAAACTTTACCAATGTTGTCAGGAATTGTGAATAATTCAAAACGATAGAGCACCTATTGAGTTCAAAATATTGTGTTTTTAACTTTCGGCTGACTTAACAGTTCTGAAGATGGCTGACTGTTATATGCATTTCATACATTTTAGGGGAATTTTTAATATTATAACTACTAGTATCTTCAAGAGCAGAGATAGGGGTGCGTTTTAGAATTGGTACGTCGAATTATGTGGAATAGGAGAGTGAATCGGAAGAGGTGGTAGGGACTGGAATTTCAGAGGGGTTGGAGAGGAAATTGGGGGATGGCAAATGAAAGTAAATTCAAAAGGATGGGAGGTGTTGGATGTTCAGTTGGATGTGACGTTGGAAGGGATGTATGGATCAGGGGAGGATAAGGATGGGGAGGGAGGATTCTGATTGATAAGAGAGCTCTGACGGGTTTGAATAGGAACGGGAATAAAAGATGTTCAGAGAGGTACACGAAAGTAAGTGAAGGAGATTATAATGATTGAGTATAGGGATAAACCTAAAGATACCCATTAGTTGTATGTCTACCGGAAATGACGTACACAGGAACACATACACAGTAGACCAGACGTCCAAGGGAAATTCAATGTAGACACGCTTATGTAACATACCGTCCATGTTACGATTGCGAAACAATTCCTGTATGATGTGGGACATTGGGAATACTGTATAGAAAGTGATTTAGATATATTCCTTTTGTAAAACCACTTTATAAGGAATACTGGTCACCTCTTGCCCCATCCAGGGACGTATATAACACGTTAATATATACGTCCCTGTCCCATCCATATCATCTTATCATTTACATGTAAGAGAATTTAAAGTACACTGTACTGTCCACCTCCATTAGACTGATAATGTTAACACACAGTCACTCAGTCAACATCTCCCGCACGTCGGAGAAAGAAACTGTAGATGCGACAGAGATGATTCAGGAGAGATAATTAAACACTACGGCCACACATTAAAATGGCCGAGATCACACTAAATCAGACATAAGTGGTCATTACATGGACAATTTAGCAGTCACAGTCATTCGAGGATGTTCATGTATATAATCTGCTGACCATTGTCCACCTCTAAATCATACTGTAGGTCGGATACATGCACGTATACAAGTACATTGGATCTGTCGGATGGCTTTGTCCACATTTAACCCATCGGCCATAATTTCCGGCCAATGACGATATGGTCAGTGGCCTTGATAATTTACAACAAGCAAGGCGACATTTCCAGGTGTCACTTTTCAGGTTCATTTCTAAATGTATCACTTCCGTTCTTACGACAATCATAAAGAATTATTTACGGACGCCGCATTTGTACGTGCTTGTAGTTTGTAGATAACGTGTGATTTTTAACGTCATCACCACAGAACTTTAAACAAGAAAGAAATAGATAATTAACAACTTCCATTTAAAATGAACCCATCTGATCGCAGTAAGCCTTGTATGTACATAAACAATGTATGTATTTGTATGTAATAATGTAAATATTAATATACATACATTGTATGTCTTTATCAACATACAAACAATGTATTTGTATGTAATAATGTAAATGTTAATATACATACATTGTATGTCTGTATGTACATGTGTAGTGATGTAAATATCGGTATATAAACATTGTATTTTTGGATGTAGAAATGTAAGTGTCTGTAATCGTATATTCTGTTGAAATGTATGTTTCCGTATAAATATCTTTATGTGTGTATTTGGAAATGCATGCGTTTGATGTACTTCACGCAATGCTTACAAATGTGCATTGTATGAAGGTGTTTGGTCATGCATGGCTACATATAAAGTATCATGTTTTTTCCAAACATTGTATGTTGTGTAGTTTAGTCAGGTGTGAAAATAATGTATAGATGATTTCCTCAAATTTATTTATTTACTGTTCTGAAGGGAACATATAATGTGTCAAGTTCCCAGAGTTCGTTCGTGAATCGTAAATCGTGGTCACGTACATTTGGCTACAAATCAAACTGAACGCGACATAAAACGATTCTCCAGTGTAATAAAACCTGGCCAGTATCTGTCTATACGGCTCATCATCAGGGCGGGTCAACTTTAAACTTTCCACAATTTAATCCATGTATTGATATGACCAGACGTCAATGGGTGCAAACCCTGCATGTGCAGGATATCTCAGGCCTTTGATAAGGGATATAAATATGTTGTCACCCACTACGACGGATAAAAAATTGCCGTTAGTCTGTGATACATATATCAAGTCTCGTGCATGTTTTGCAACCCTGCCGCCAAGTTTGAGTCTTTGTGACCGTTGTATAGTGAAAAAAATAAATGGAAATCATACCGAGTATAGGCTATGGACCCACGAGTTATTACACTTTAATCATTGATACATTTTCTAAAAACGATAATGTTGACCTTGACCAACAACCTTAACACTAAAACTTGTCCGAGATATTTCAATGCTGAATAAGTGTGGCAGGTCTGACGAGAATCCATCGCGGAATGAAGCCGTTAAAGCGCTAACAGACGCAAAGACGCCCGGACGGCCGGACGGACGCAGGAGCAGACAGACGGAGAGGAAAACTATTGTGACCCCTCCCCCTCCCATAGGGGACTAATAACTATTCTTGTTCGCAAGTTTCAATCCAAATCCAAAAGATTAATAGTTTATTTTTTTTTTTAGATCTGGTATGGACACCGTCTAGCCTGCTGGCGTCAGCAACAGGGACTGCCTGCTAACAGTGGTTCGGTAAAGGACTGACCAGAGGTCAAGGCCATTGTGAGATGTCTGTTGTTGGTCGGAGCCCGCGCTAGTCAATGGATCATGATTGTTCAATAACTGTCAAACCATGCAATCATTCATCCTACCTCGACGTTATTCATAAACAACGAATCTGTCAAAGCGGTGACCATATTTCACTGTGAATCTTTGACCTTGAAGATTGTAATCGTCACCTGTGATCCTGACCTTGAAAGTGCATTCTTGATATGATAAGCTTATTCCGGGATCACGTGCTAGGTTCAGTGTTGTATTTAGGAGAGATGAGCCTGACTTATTCACTTTTAGCTTAGGGTAAAAGTGGAACACGTGACACAAAAGCTTTTTGGTGGCATTCACCACGCTCTGTGAATAAAAAGATCGGGAAATCCTAAATATAGCATGACTTTGACGCAGGTATGATTTATCTTCAGCACCAGAAGAGCTATATAACAACAAAGAGAATATTTTATTCGAAATAAGCAAATGAAAAAATTGACAGACAGAATTCATCTAAATATGTAAATTAGTACTTATTGCTAATATGATCTATGACCTTGAATAACTGCAATACAATGACATTGATCCACTCTGAGATTATGTTAATTTAAATGACCCGCAAGAATGCCCCAGCAAGGATCAACACGAAACATTTCATAATAACGAATGAAATCCAAAGTGTCCAAAGCATTGTAATTGACTTCTCTTTGTACTTGTACCAATGCAAGTTAAATCTGAGATGGAGACAGGACGGTTTTTGCTATCCTCTTAAATCTGTATGTGACAATGCCCATGTGACCAGGCTAGGTTACAATGTTTATTTACTATATAAAAGATAAAACAATCGTTTGATCTAAACTTTAACCCGGTCAAACGAACAATACATCTAATTTTTAGGTTTTAGGTGACCTGAGTCTCATGGTTACCAATTGCAATCCCCTAAGTCCGGGGGTTGTAAACATTTTACATTTTCGACTTCTTCTGGAAAACCCCTGAACTGATTTCAAAGAAAGCCAAGGTGGACGAAAATTGTAAATTATATGGCCGCTGTCAAACTCTGGAAAATCTTCTTCTCAATACCCAAATATGGTAGGATCAAATAATGTTCATGGATTGAAGGGTCTTAATGTGTCTTACCAAAAGTGTCAATTTCATGACCCCAGGGCCACACATTTCTCGGTAGGGAAGGGATTTACATAGTTTATATAGGAAAATGGCATAATGGAGCATAATTTGTTTATTTTTTGCTGGAAATAGTGCGAACTTTGTCAAAATTGTTACTATGGAATGACAGTTTGATGATATGAACATATTGACCTTGGATGATCTATTGGCATTGTGGGCGGGTTCAAAAAGGGTCACATTTGAATGAAATTTTAAAAAATCTCAATTATACCCATGTCAGTAGCATGAAATAATCTTCCTGTATGGAAAGTTCTTAATTTGTTTTACCAAAACCCTACAGTCTCACATTTCCCCCTGAGGAGGGGTAAAATTTACAATTGTTTACTAGATCATCGTTATGTCGTGAAAATTACACAATAATGAGTTACAATTTCTGGGAAACCCTCCTTCCCCAATATAATTAGCGTTTTTCACTTTCTTTTCATTTCTCTGCTTCAATTTGTGAGGTTATCCAGGTGATCTTTTAAGCCCAGTGGGCCTCTTGTTGTCTAGAGGAATTTTGTTTACATGTACTCTAATAGAAGAGAAACATTTTCCCCTGTTTAGTTTTGAGATAAACGTATGGAACGATTCATCAAGGTATCCCCCGAAATCTGAGGTAATTAATGATTATAATTCTCTCTTGTTAGATTGTTTATCAACAATTAAAATTCTGCAGTATTAAATAATCGTTGATCGACAAATGGCACTCCCTAATTCTAATCTAGTCAGCATATTGTGTATCGTCTTTAAATCTATCGTTTTCATCATCCACCATCACTTTATATATTTGTACAGATGTTTGTTGTATAGTTTTTTTAAAACTTAATTTCTTTACAGTCAACTATGACACAAACGTCTTCAACTTCTGTTATCGTTGTTTGTGATTTTTTTTACCTGTGGTCAGGAAAGGTAATTTCTAGAGCCGTTCCAATTAGGCCTACATTAATTTACGTACACTCGTGGAACTTTGCGAGTTTATGTAGATATTTAACAGCACTCAAAGTATTTATTTTAAATATATTACTATTTCAAATAAATGTTCTCAATTTATTTTTTCACAAAGTATTTCCAATGTTCTGTAGTCTGAAAATGACGTACAATTAGAACACCAAAGTGTACTGGTTCGGAGCCGTTCTCCCAGACTGAACCTCGCTAATACCTCCAGGTCAAAGGTATTACCGTAAATGTCACTTGTTTTGTTGTTTACGGACTCTCGTTACAAATGTATGCTGTTTGTCACATCACACAAAATGTCCAATTATTCCGATCTAAACACATGACTGAAATAATGTTGATTACGTATCAGATGACTTATTAATCAGATCAAATACAGTAATCACTAACCACGTGTAAATGTCAAATCGACCACAAATAATATCCGGAATATGCTTATAGTCTTAGTACATCACAGTCTGTGTGATATACTGGAATACAGTTAGAAAGTACACACCGAAAAATAATATCAAAGTAATATTTAGAAATCGTTTATGGCATAAGGACGAAAATTGAAAGCACAAGACTGTTATCAAATATATTTTGAATATATCTTAAAATATTGTTGAACAAATTAGATTTATTATCCACAAATATCGCTTTCTACGCATGTTGGTGTTTATTCAGAGTGTCTAACCTTGTGAACTGTGTACCTTCATTGAATCTTTCAGAGACGAAAATCACCAGATCTTCAAAAATATATTTATATGAACACTTAAATCGTTTTGTATTCGACATAATGGATAAAAAGATGCCATGAATAGGTTTTACTGGCGATATGTGGACATTGACAGCCGACATCACTACAAACTAGTAATATAACGACAGTAACACATTGTCCTGTGTGAATTTACAATCACTCTACTGTGACTGGGCGACAATCACACTGATCGCTCGAACGGATTTGATAGAGATCTAGTTATATATTTCGCCTCTGTATTTACACAATGTTGAAGCCGAAATGCATAATGACTATTGGTGCCGTCAGCAGGGTACATTAGAAACGACATGGTCTCGCTCTCCATCAGTGTGAGACATGGCTATTGATTTTTTCATGGTTTGATGATTTCTGTATCGTTTGATGTAGGTATTGATTATTTCAGGGTTCACTGATTTCTGTCTTGTTCAAAGAAACATGCTGTATGTGGCAAAAGCTGCAGTCAGAAACTGTTACATATTTTTTGAAAATGTGTGAAGCGGAAAATTTATTCATAATTCTATTTTGATACGAATCGGAATTGAATTGGGATTTTCTGACAGTTATATATAAAGATAAAAGCACTAGCGGGGTTTAGTGTATGTCTACTGTAAAGCTATTTCAATAAAGTGAACTAATCATCTTCTAGATAGAGCTGCTGTTCTTTAAGTTCGTCAGACTTTTGGTCGAAATTAAATGCGCATACAGTACTTCATGAATAGGTCTTTGTCCTTATAGAGCAATGGTCCAAGACCGTTGTCACTCGTGTCCAAAGGAAGACAGAGTTACAGTCCTTACAACTGGTAACTCAAACGAGAGCCTGCTTGTGTGTGCGTGTGTGTGTGTTTTAAATATAAACTAAAAGAGCCAGCTTGCGCTTGCGTTTTTTAATTAACGGAATCGTTAAAGTGTATAGAAGCAAAATTTGCTATATTCTGTAAGGTGGACTTCTGGAGTCGGAAAGTAATCGGACAAAAGATTTAATGTGATAAATATGTGATATGCTTTTAATCACTAGGTCGACTTCTCGATCTTTGTCTTATGATAATACCATTATATCGGGTAACCTTGGAAATGACATAAACTATGTCTTCAAAACAGGATACAATTTAATTATAATGTGCATGCTTTTTAGCTGTAAGAAATAAAAACGGTATACACAGATAAAAAGCAAACACAAAGGAAACCAAACTTCGTAACCTGACGTTTGGACCTTTGACCATGACCTTGGTAATACATTATTTTGCCGCGAGACCTTATAACACGTGGTTTTGTCGCGTAACCGTGGTGACACGTAATTTTGTCGCAATGATCTTGGTGATGCACATCTTGTATGTAATTTTGTCACAGGACCTTGTTAAAATATAATATTGTCGCCATGACCTTGGTGATATATATTTTTGTCGCCATGACCTTGGTAATATATATTTTTGTCGCCTTGACCTTGGTGATAAGTATTTTTGTCGCCATGACCTTGGTGATAAGTATTTTTGTTGCCATGACCTTGGTGATAAGTATTTTTGTCGCCATGACCTTGGTGAAAAGTTTTTTTTGTCGCCATGACCTTGGTGATAAGTATTTTTGTCGCCATGACCTTGGTAATATATATTTTTGTCGCCATGACCTTGGTGATATATATTTTTGTCGCCATGACCTTGGTGATAAGTATTTTTGTTGCCATGACCTTGGTGATAAGTATTTTTGTCGCCATGACCTTGGTGAAAAGGTTTTTTGTCGTCATGACCTTGGTGATAAGTATTTTTGTCGCCATGACCTTGGTGATAAGTATTTTTGTATATATTTTTGGTGACCTTGGTAATATATATTTTTGTCGCCATGACCTTGGTGATAAAGATTTTTGTTGCCATGACCTTGGTCATAAGTAATTTTGTCGCCATCAAGTTGGTAATGTTGTCCTAATCTTTACATAATGGAAAATCCTGTTGGCTTTCTATCAGACTCGGTAGTGGATTTGTCACGGACATTCATTCTCCCTATTGTTTGTTCAGGTGCACCGTGAACATTTCATTACAAATACTTCCGATTTTCAGGATCAGTTGTTCCAGGAAGGCTGAGATAACTAGTGCTAGCCTTACTTTTTGACCTGTTATGTTTACCAGTTATTTCCCTTTAACTTGTTTGCGGACATATAGTTTTGTTGATGTGTGTAAGAATACACCTGTTACGGATGATTGTCTGGCACTTATTCCTCATATACAGGAAACATAACTTTACAACATGTAATTCACTTTTTCTCAGAAAGCAATCTGGACACAACAAGCCTCACACAGTCTGATCTGGACACAACAAGATGAATCATGGAAAGTCTGATCTGGACACAACAAGATGAAGTGGTGGAAAGTCTGATCTGGACACAACAAGATGAATCATGGAAAGTCTGATCTGGACACAACAAGATGAAGTGGTGGAAAGTCTGATCTGGACACAACAAGATGAATCATGGAAAGTCTGATCTGGACACAACAAGATGAATCATGGAAAGTCTGATCTGGACACAACAAGATGAATCATGGAAAGTCTGATCTGGACACAACAAGATGAAGTGGTGGAAAGTCTGATCTGGACACAACAAGATGAATCATGGAAAGTCTGATCTGGACACAACAAGATGAAGTGGTGGAAAGTCTGATCTGGACACAACAAGATGAAGTGGTGGAAAGTCTGATCTGGACACAACAAGATGAAGTGGTGGAAAGTCTGATCTGGACACAACAAGATGAATGGACACAACAAGATGAATCATGGAAAGTCTGATCTGGACACAACAAGATGAATGAAGTGGTGGAAAGTCTGGACACAACAAGATCTGGACACAACAAGATGAATCATGGAAAGTCTGATCTGGACACAACAAGATGAAGTGGTGGAAAGTCTGATCTGGACACAACAAGATGAAGTGGTGGAAAGTCTGATCTGGACACAACAAGATGAATCATGGAAAGCCTGATCTGGACACAACAAGATGAATCATGGAAAGTCTGATCTGGACACAACAAGATGAAGTGGTGGAAAGTCTGATCTGGACACAACAAGATGAAGTGGTGGAAAGTCTGATCTGGACACAACAAGACATGGAAAGTCTGATCTGGACACAACAAGATGAAGTGGTGGAAAGTCTGATCTGGACACAACAAGATGAATCATGGAAAGTCTGATCTGGACACAACAAGATGAAGTGGTGGAAAGTGGAAAGACACAACTGGAAAGTCTGATCTGGACACAACAATATGCAGTGGTGGAAAGTCTGATATGGACACAACATTATGAATCATTGAAAGTCTGATCTGGACACAACAAGATGAATCATGGACACAACAAAAGTCTGAAAGTCTGATCTGGACACAACAAGATGAAGTGGTGGAAAGTCTGATCTGGACACACAACATGGAAATATCTGGACACAACAAGATGAATCATGGAAAGTCTGATCTGGACACAACAAGATGAAGTGGTGGAAAGTCTGATCTGGACACAACAAGATGAAGTGGTGGAAAGTCTGATCTGGACACAACAAGATGAATCATGGAAAGTCTGATCTGGACACAACAAGATGAATCATGGAAAGTCTGATCTGGACACAACAAGATGAATCATGGAAAGTCTGATCTGGACACAACAAGATGAATCATGGAAAGTCTGATCTGGACACAACAAGATGAATCATGGAAAGTCTGATCTGGACACAACAAGATGAAGTGGTGGAAAGTCTGATCTGGACACAACAAGATGAAGTGGTGGAAAGTCTGATCTGGACACAACAAGATGAAGTGGTGGAAAGTCTGATCTGGACACAACAAGATGAAGTGGTGGAAAGTCTGATCTGGACACAACAAGATGAATCATGGAAAGTCTGATCTGGACACAACAAGATGAATCATGGAAAGTCTGATCTGGACACAACAAGATGAAGTGGTGGAAAGTCTGATCTAGACACAACAAGATGAAGTGGTGGAAAGCCTGATCTGGACACAACAAGATGAATCATGGAAAGTCTGATCTGGACACAACAAGATGAATCATGGAAAGTCTGATCTGGACACAACAAGATGAAGTGGTGGAAAGTCTGATCTGGACACAACAAGATGAATCATGGAAAGTCTGATCTGGACACAACAAGATGAATCATGGAAAGTCTGATCTGGACACAACAAGATGAAGTGGTGGAAAGTCTGATCTGGACACAACAAGATGAAGAGGTGGAAAGTCTGATCTGGACACAACAAGATGAAGTGGTGGAAAGTCTGATCTGGACACAACAAGATGAAGTGTTGGAAAGTCTGATCTGGACACAACAAGATGAATCATGGAAAGTCTGATCTGGACACAACAAGATGAAGTGGTGGAAAGTCTGATCTGGACACAACAAGATGAATCATGGAAAGTCTGATCTGGACACAACAAGATGAAGTGGTGGAAAGTCTGATCTGGACA